TGAGAGGAATGGGACTTAAGCCTCTAGAAATGAGTTGATACAATGGAAACCCTACCTTGTTGACTGGAGATCCCAAGATCTTGGTTCAAAGGGACAACCTAATTGTAAAAAACTCTTGTAATCTGTGGGATATTATCCATTGTCCATTCCTTAAACAGTGATACCCGTGGTGAGTAGGATAAGCATTTGGCTTTTAATGATTCTTGTATTGGAAGGTAGTACGGGCTACTTGTAATTAAGAATCACCTATGTGAGAGAGATGTGGGGCCGCTTCGAAGAGAATTGTGTGAGGCTCAATTCTTAGACCCTCTCACAGAACCAGGCTATGTCCAGGGCCAATAATGAACATAATAATGAGAACTGGAATATGTTAGGGAGAATCCTGTGTGAAGTATATTCATCGTTTACACAAAAGGCAGAACAGTTCAAAGACATCGCGTCTACTGGTCAGCTAGTAAAGTTAATGTGCTTTCACAAGGGAAGGTTCAAAGGGTAATATCTACCTATCCTATGCAGGTTTCAACTGTTGGACCATAACATTATTTTTCAATTTCATTCATGTGGGGGATTGTTGGAAAATTGTGAATGAATTTGTAACTGAAGAAGTGTTTTGAAACGTGTCTTTCACTTTTAAGACAAAAGTTAAAACTTGGTTTCATTAATTTGAAACCGTGTTTCTTCATTTTTGATAAACTTGTAACTTGGTTATATTTAACTTAACTTCATTAAGTTTGTAATAAATAGTTTCATTAATGAAGTGACTTGTCTTATGACTATATAAGACTTGTCACATTGTGAAGAAAAGGAGACACGAAACCAAATACAATTTTTTCAAAGTCTTGTTTACTCATTTTTTCTTTAAGTGTTTTGGTTCAGGCATAATTCCAGTTCGCCGAATTTGTTTCGATTTTTTCCGTTGTATCCTGGGAAACAGACGCTCATACGGGGCGAATCTGTTTTAAGGACACTGTGTTCTCACAGGCCTCGGTATTATATATTTAAGCCATCTTATTTTATTTTCCTGTTAAAGTTCCCTACACGAAGATCTCGACGGCGTGACGGTACACGGCTTTTTAATCAGTTGCCGCTTTAGTCTGTTTTTTTTTTTTTGGTTCGTGCGGCCCGACTTTCCCTGTCTTCAGGCCCAGAATGGCCTAACTTCATATTCTTCATGAGTGGAGCTCGCGAGGGCGTGAAAGTTGGTACGATAATGGACTCCTCGGTCATGATTTATTGTTGTGCTCCCACGAGGAATTCTTGGTAATTCGTTGGCTTGATCTAGCAAAGGGACCAACAAGACATCGAATTCAAGAGGATCCCGACGTGGACGCTACAAACAGTCTTCGCATGACAACATTTATTGAACCTGTGTATTGAACTAAGCCATGTAGTTTTTTAGCTTTCCGTACGTAGACCCTTGCATGATATTGGTTATTGACTCTTGAGAGATCATACACATTTACCACTTGTGAAAAGTTCACGCTTCAATTGGTCCCATGGCTTCCCAAACATCCATTTGTACTCTCTATCCCAACATACAAAAGTAGCATTTGCAGAAGTATCAGCAAATCCAAAATGAATCTTGTAGCTTTATACATGTAAAAAAGCATATAAAATGTACTAAAGAATGTAATAATAAGAGAAAATAGTAAAACCACGAATATTTATTGTATATGTTACCAAGCCATGTCGTGCGTTTGAGTACACAATTGGAGCACTTCGACCATCCATCTTCACTAACCATCTTACTGCTGCCTCTTGCACAAAGAGTACCACCAATCATCAATGATGGAATCGATCGTGGCGCAAACACATATATCCATAACTAGTGTTGTTAAATTAAACGAGTCTGGCTAAGCTCCACTTCTAAAATTAACGAACCAAGCTCGAGCTCATTTAAAGCTCGTTTGGCTAACGAGCCGAGCTTGCCTCGACTTGATAAGTCTCGAAAATATAATTTTTATATAATTTTATATAGTTCGACTCGTTAAAGCTCGAGATTGACTCGTTAAGGCTCGAGCTCGTGGCCTCAACGAGTCGAGCTTGAGGCCGAGCTCGATCTCAGACACCCTAAGCTCGAGCTCGGACACCCTAAACTGGAGCTCGGCTCGACTCGCTTACAGCTCCATCCATAGCCTATGAATAAAGAAAATAATAATAAAAATAAAATTTATTAAAATTGAATTAGAAAGTATTGAGCCCTCAAGTTTTGTAAATATAAAATCAAAAATTATATTAAACATATCTCATGAGACTCACACTACAAGAAAAGGATGAAATTCCAACGGAAATCTATTTCAAAAGAATTATTCCAACGGCAATTCCAACAGATATTTCAATAATATTATTTCTGTTGGAATTTTTCAATGGATTCCAACGGAAATTCCAACGAAAATATTCCGTTGGAATGGGTTTTCCATTGGAATTTCTGTTGGATTTTGACGATTCCAACGGTGGATTTTCCAACGGGGGTGGAAAAAAATTCAAACGGAATTTGCATATTCCAACAAAAATTCCTACAGTAAAAAGCCGTTGGAAATATAGTCGTTGGAATCATCAAATTCCATCTAAATTCCAATGAAAAACACATTCCAACGGAATATTTCCGTTGGAATATCTGTTGGAACTATTCCAACGGAAGCTATTCCATTGTAATATCCGTTGGAATTTCCATTGGAATATATTACCATAGGATTTTTCGTTGGAATATACCATTTATTTTGTAGTGTCATAAAGGGAATTGACAGAGCTAACGATGATATCACCATCTTCTACCTCTTGAAGTTTAGTCTTCACTATAATGGAACTTTTCCACTTCGACTTCACACTCTTCAGTCTAAATATAAATAATAGTATATTCAATTAAAAAGAATTTGAAAACTAATCTAATTTTAGTTGTTATTATTATTTTCATTTTAAATAATTATTTTTTTTAATAAATACACATGTAATACACGAGTTTTGTACTATCCAATTTAATAGAACTCGTACATATTCTGTTGTGCATATTCAACAATAGAAAAAAAAACACCTATTATAAAATCCCCTTCTCTCCATGCGAATAAGAAAATTCCCAATTCACAGATGACCTAATCCATCAGATCGCCGCTTGCTTCTCCATCGAGTTGCAGAGCCGCGACGCAGCCACCCCTTGGCTACGCGAGTCAACCCCTCCTTTGCTAATGTCGTTCCTTTCGTCTCGGGTGGGTTAGATGGCTGGTCCTAAAAGGTCTTCGCCGCTTCCTCGATTGCCTTTTGGGCCGCTGGTCGTGAAGCTCCTGGTCGGTGTAACGGCGGAGGTGCTGATGAGTTGGGTCTGAGGTGGGTCGACTCAGCCCTATGTCCCTTTTATCCCTGGTGTGTGGGCTGAAGGGACGGCCGGCGAGGCAATTTGCGCCTGTGGTGTGGGTTGGATACTGATCGGTGGCGTTGTGGTGGGTTGTTTGTCCGACTTTTCCTAAGGTTTAGGGGTGAGGTTGGTCGCCTGGACGTTTGTTTCGAGTTCGTGGGTTTTAGTTCTAATTAGGTCGGCGTTGCAGTTTCTGGTTCTATGACTAGGGGCGAGATTCGGTCCATATAAGCGGTTGGCTTGGTGTGCCATGTTTGTGTTGCTTGGTGCGTTGTCCGTCTACGGGGGGTGTAGGTTGTGTTTTATATGTGTTTCTCTGAGTTTGTTTTTATTATCCTGTTGGAATTTGTGTATTCTCCTATTCGAAGTTTTATGTGTATTCTCCAATTGGGTGTTCGTGTTTTTGAGCTATTGTGAGTGTGTTGTACTAGCTTAGACTCTCATTTGGAATGTCCTCTGACTAGATTCGGCTCTTGACCAGCTATCGATTAAAAAAAAAAGAGAGTCAAAAATTCCTTGACAACTTGATGAGGAAAAAAAAAATACTTTACCACATAAAAATAGTGAACTTGAAAATAAAATAAAAGCCACCCATCTTCAACACACATAGATATAAAAAGTCAAAGAGTCAAATTTCAGATCCCCGCACACCTCAACTCATTCTTTAAAAAAAAAAAATGGAAAAGAAAAACAAAATACTATTAAAATAAAACAAACTTCAAAAGTTGTTTTTAAGCGTGTGTGTGTGTGTGTGTGTGCTCAATTAATAGGATAATTAATTAGCCACAAGCAGAATTTAATTAACACAAAGCTGAAGAAGTCCCGATTGCGGCCTTGTTGCCACTTCCCCTCTCTCACATCCCATCTCTTTTCCACCATTTCTTTCTTTCCTTTTTTTTTAATATTTTTTTGAAACCTTCC